TCAAGTTGAAAGTATAAATTGTTATAATTTAAATGTTAAAGTGAATCTTCAGAGTTAAAAATAACATGAAAAATAAAATTTTTTACTTGAAAGGTTAAACATTTAAAGGTAATTGGAACAGAAAGTGGTCTATATTTAAATATTCATATTGGTGTGGCTGTAAAAATAATAACTTTATTTGCTGCCTCTGGCTACCTAAAATCTTTAGCTAAAGAACCAAGGCAAAGTGGACCATTTGGCAATTATCCTCTGAATCAGGGATTGCCAATGAATAGCTAGAGGGCCCAAGCAGATAACCTGAATGAGTGAAGCAAGAAGTGTATGAATTCATACCTTATGAGTAGAGAGGATTCAACTTCACAGGAGAGCTTACAGGTTCTTAAAGTGTGCCACTGCCACTCAGCTCGGCCAAGTGCTTTTGCTCAAGAACACAGGCTCAATGTTGACAAATCTGATTTTTTCCAAAGGTGGTCGGGAATCAGGAATTTTATATGAAATCTCCTGATTCATATATAGCTAAAGTACCTTCAGAATGCTGTTTTGAGGTTTGCCACCAAAATATCTATCGTTCCTAAAGGACAGAAAGAAGTGAAAAGTGATTGGGCAAAAATATAGCGAACTGGGGCCGGTATCACACCAACACCATGGAGGCCTGCGGATAGCCTCTTGAATGGGTGAGGTGCTTTCTGCTATATTGCGGCTCTCTGTAGAAATTTCCCCTAAAACACAACTCAGCTTTAATTCCATAAGAGCTCACTGGGAAGAGAATATATTAACAGTTGAAAGGAAAGACTCTTTGCTGCCAAGCACCTCTTGGACTGGGAGGTAACTAAGGAGAAACGAGAGCAAGCTTTAGAAGAGCATTTTTTATTATTTGTTTGAATACTTCTGGACATTTGTGGAATCACCAGGCACATTTAGAAAGCTTATATAATTTGGCCATGACGAATTCATTATGTTTTCTCCCATGTCAGGAGGCACAGAAAGACTTGCCAATTTGTCCAACAAACATTTATTGAGCACTTACTATGTGCCTTCTACTGACAGGGACTTGGGATGAAAGCCAAATAAGACATGTTTGCAGTCTAACAGGAGAAACAGACAAGCAAACGGATTACTAAAGCGCAGTGTGAAGAAGAGTTATGTAAGTCACGAGCCAGTGCATGGCAATGGTGAGCCCAACATACCTAATCCACAGAGGGGAAACCATAGAGGGCTTCCTGGGGAAGAAGCAGCGTCTAAAGACCAAATAAAACCTATAATCTTTATCTAGGGCTTACTCTATGCCACGCACTGTTCTAAAAGCTTTATGTTTATTAACTCATATAAATCCCCACAACAACCTTAATGGTATATACACTTCAAGTTACCTGCATTTTACAGATGAGGAAAATGAACATAGGAACTTGCACAGCATCACAAAACTAGGAAGTGTCAGAATCTATATTCTATGTTCTTAACCCCTACATATTATTTGCATGTTGTATATTTAGCAAAGAATACAATAATCAGGACATATTACAAGTTATCAGGACTTGATGATATCACTGGGTCGGCGTATGGGCCTGACGGAAACACTATCAAAACAAGTAGCCTATCTGTTTACTTACTGCTCAGGACAGCTTCAAATGTAAGAGAACAATTCTTTCTAGATTTAACCATATTCAGCAGGAAAGTTCTAGATATGTTATGACTGTTTTGCTTTTTAGATGTTAGCATAGCGTCAGTTGAAGTCACCTAAAATAGTCACTAGTTTGATTTCTTCATATCATTTTTTTTTGACAACTACATGTAACTTTCTTGCCTGCATCTCCTTTCTTTTGTATTCTCTATTGAGCCATCTGACCGGGGGTGGAAGATAAGGTAGACAGATGAGTTGACAAGGGTTAGGAAACATCCTTCCCACAGTATCTATTATACCTCTTTTCTTTATAGTTTAAATACTAAATTTCTTAGGTCATTAGATACCTGGTGCTGTCAGCAAGCAGCACATATTCATCTGAAAGGCTCATTTATTAAATATGGAAGATAGTTCAGGCAAGTTCACTTCCTATCTCAGCAAGATATCTGTGTAGTTTACTTGTAACAGAAACACAGTATTTTATATTCAAGTACCAGATTCCCATGAATGTACACTGTGTGTGTGGATTATAGCCATGTATATAATGATTAGTTTCGATTGTCATGAAATATTTCAAGACTTCAGAATTAGCTAACTGACAAAAACTCTCACAAAAGCAAGGCAGTGACAAACCTGGCTTATTAACCACACAAAGTGTAGTGTATTGGTCCTATATAGGCTTTAACTTTTGGAAACCAACTAACGCTTAACTCTAGACAATCTTACATGAATAAGGAAATCAATGCCTAATACAAAAAGATGAACATAATTTTACTTATAGGACATTTTCCTAAATGTCTTAAATGATTTAACTGCAATAGCTGGAGTATTCAAATTTAATTATCAAGCATTTACGAATTTCCATTTCATATTAAATGGATTTAAAAAAAAAATCTACTACAATGGAAACCATCAATTTATTCCACAACCTGGCTCCTATCTGTTACAGGGATGCTAATCTCCAAAATTACGTTTGATTCCTCTTCTTTTATCTACTCTAACACCAAGACCTGTGGATATGCCTACTGAAAGAAATGGCAACTCTATGGTTGCCACCAGTGGTGGCACTCCATGCTGCCACCAGCGCAGTATGCTCTGAGCTCACTGCTCTGCCTCCTCCCTGACACATCTAAACTTCTTATTTAAGTTACTCATGGTTGCAGTGCTCCTCAAGTACTTTCAAGTCTTGACTGTCCTCTCTTGCTGAAACTTCCTTGGTTTCCCCGATACTCCACTCTCCCTTCCTGTAGCTTTCTCATTGTTGCCCTGTCCCTTCACGGATTCTTCTCCCTTTGCCCACCCCTTATATTGGGATGCCCTTGAATTTCCTCCCCTAGCTCATTTGTTGTTTGTTGCTATTCTGTAGCCTCTCTGCAGGCACTTTCATCCATTCTCGTGACTTTAAATGACACTTCCTTGCTTAAAGAAGCCAAAACAGCCAGGCCAAACCTCTCTCTCCAGGACTCCAGTGTATATATACACATAGCTTCAAAAATCTCAACCTGAATGTCTCAGTTTTATCTTTCTCACCCATCCTCTACAAGTGATGCTCTATCTAGAATGCAAATCTGACCACTTCGCCCCTGCTGTAAGGATGAAGTCCAGGCTCCCAGGCTAGAAAAACAAGGCCTGTCAAGAAGCTTTCTCTCTTCTTTCTCCAGCCTTATCTACTTCCCACTATTGTGGTCTCTCTTCAGCAACACTAGGTAACTAGACTTGCCTGCATACCTCATGCTTAAACTGGTTAACTCTTTCTTATCCTTCAAGGCCCAGCTCTGGAACCTCTTTTTTCAGAGGGTCTTCTCTTATTACTCCCCTTGCACCCCACAGTTCACGGTGGTTCTTGCTCTCACACCATGTACTGCATTATATGGAAAAGGTCTGTTTATATATGTCTTAGTTCATCTGACCAGAAGTTTCTGATGTTGCTTCACATCCATTCCTCTATTGCCCCCACCCCAGTCCTCAGTAACTCTAATCTGGATTCTTGCAAATGGTCTCCTCACCTCCACTTTCTACCCCCTCCAAGTCATTACAAATATCACTGCCAGATTAATCCTCCCAAAGCACAGAACTGACTGTGTATTTCTGCCCCAGTCCAAAAGCTTTAATGGCTTCCTTTTCTCTACCATAGCGGTTCCCAAAGAGTGGAACACACACCACTTAGGAAATGATTTTAGATGGTACATGGGAATGGCATTAAATGACTCTGGACCACAGAAAAGAAATTTCCCTTTATCAGTTTTCTCTCAGTTCTAACTATGCCAGGGAGAAAGCCTGAACATGCATCTCATCTTTGATAAACTCTTTTTAATAAAGAGTAGGCCCCAGCACAGAGCCTTAAACAAGAAACAGTACCTAGCTGGACTTCAAAATACTGTTTTGTTTACAGTATGTTTACTTTTATATTTTATTTCTGGAAAATGATACTGGTTTTCTATTTATAAGAGTGGTATAAAGTTTTCTTTCAAAATAAATTTTAGCAAAAAAAGAAAAAGTTGAAGGTTAAAGGAAAGTTAAAGGAAAGTATTAAGTACATACTAGAACAGGTAGTTCACAAACATGGTACTGAGAATAGTATTGAAATGCCTAAACTTTGAGAAAGACTAGCCAGTCAAATTAGGCCCTTTAGAGGTTATACCAACAAGCATAAAATCTTTAAATCTCCATCAGGCTGTTGTGTCATAAGACAGGTGTTTCCTTAAGGTTGTTTTTTAATTTAGCAACAATGATTAATCATTCTCTGTTCTCCAAAGATGTGCCACTTTCCAGCCTCCATGCTTTTGCACATGCTGTTCCTCTGCTTGGAATATTCAGCTTCCTACCTCTCCTTGCTAAAAATCGTATAGTCCAAGCCTAGGCAACAGAGCAAGACCTCATCTCTACAAAAAATAAAATATTAGCTGAGCATAGTGTCATCTGCCCGTAGCCCTAGCTACTCAGGATGGTGAGGCAGCAGGATGGTTTGAACTCGGGAGTTCAGGTTACAGGGAGCTATGATCACACCACTGCGCTCCAGTGTGGGTGACAGAGCGAGATCCTGTCTTAAAAACACATCCTATAATCTTTCAAAGTCCACACTAAGTGCTATCCCCCTCATGAAGCCCTTCTTCACCCTGATGGATTTCTTTCCCTTTCATAGTACCAATAGCACTTTCTCTCTCCACTGTTAGTTTTGGTGATAATATCAGTTCAAATAATAATGTTCTTCCACTTAGATCTCAAATGTTTTCAAGAGAGGGGAAGGAAGACCATGAATTTTATTCATTTTTTTATACCACAATGGTTCTTAACAAAGTGCCTCTAACATGGAGCAACCCATAATTAATATTTGCTGAATTGAATTTAACATTTTTGGCAACATTCATGTAATACTTACAATTTTGCGTTTGATCATGAAGAGCGGGATTTTTGCATGAAGAGGGGTTGAGGATAGTTCCTTATGGACCGTTGATAAATACAATCTTCTTTTGATGTTTCCTAAATCAGTAATTCTGAAAAAAGAGACAGGAGAGAAGAGAGAAAGATTCTCATCAATTTAATAACCACTTCTTTGGATAATCATCAAAATGATATAATTTATCATATAGACCCTTTCCAACAGGGAGATCAAACACAGAATTTAAGAATTGCCTTTTTCTTTCAAGAAGTAATAAAATTTCCTCCTTAAATTCAAAGTGCTCACAAGCCTGAATGTTTAAATTCACTTAATATGCTAATTTATTTCAGTACTCTACACTAGATTTCCACAGACCTCCAGCCTATGAAAAAATTCAATTTGTATGAACTGAGAAACTGCTAACCTTTAATAACCATGCTTGTTCCAGCCCCTTAAGCTTGTGTTATCTTGGGACATACTGTCACCTACTAAATAGGAAAACATTACGGGTTTCTTTCCCTAAAAATGCACCTGTCATTTTATATAGGCTCTTAGTCTGCTTAGAGACAGACACAAAACACTGACTGTCGGTTTCACTTCCTAAGCACATATCTTCCAACTGGAATTATAATACACAACTTCATTGCTAACTATTCAGGTCAACCCACAGTGATACCAAGGACACTGAATCTGAACATCTTTAATAGATTTAGACCACAGCCATGAACACAAAGATTAGGTTTGCTTCAAATTGATAGAAGCTCATTTTTATGTTCTGCTTCCTTTAGGTCTCAGAGGTAACAGAGCAGGCTTAAAATCTCCAAACCCGTCCCAGGCTACTATATTGTAAAATTGATGCTTCCTTAAAAACTGTCTTTTACCTGAGAATAAATGATTTTCCTCCGTTTTTTAGCAACTTTATCCAAATGTACTACATTGCTAATTTTCTACAATTAGCAATCCCCTAAGGAAACAACATTTCATTCAAATACACTGTTATCAATATTTATAGCATAATTAACTATTTTTAAAATCAACATAACCTTTTCTATAGCTTTTCCATGCCTCTGCCTCCCCAGTTTTCTAATCTCATTATTGCTTCCCTCTCAAATACTCTACATATTTTGCTGTGGAAAAACCATCATTAAACAATGTTATTAATAACACAGTAAAACTTAGGTGAGATGATTGCAGAGTATGTCCCTGACTTAAAAGTTCTACTCTACCTGCACTAAATGATACCATAAATTCATTTATAAAAGCAATGCAGCCTATCAATCCATAAGTCAGTGCTAAGGTTTAAAATCCAAAAGTATTAACACTACTGCAGTATTATACTTCGCTGTATAAGTGAACGTGTTATCACATTCACCACCATCCACTGAAGTGCAGGAAGAAAGCATTACAACTTGCATCTCATCCTCTTAAAATGTGATTTTTGTGCATGTTTTACTGTATAGTAAGCACAACAACATATTTATATATTTTCAAAATAAAAATAAATACATGTTCTTATGTGGTAGGTGTGCACAAAATATTTTACCAATGGAGTACAGGATCAAATATGTTTAGAAAACATTGTCATCGGGGATGCTATCAGGTCTCCTCTGCAAAAGGTTGTGACTAGGAAACAAAAGGAAAGACTACCGAGATTCTGGAAAGGAAAAGGGAACAAAAAGAGGGGCTGTATTAACCAAAAAACTCATTTGTGACACAATTTTATTAAAGGATTGTTGTGTTTGTAGGGATAAACTATTACATTTTTATCTAAATCGTTAAGGATCAAACTCCAAACAGAAATGAATGAGTATACTCTCAGTTTATTGGCATATGGAACTATAGGAACATTCATTCGTTCATTCATTCATACATTCAACAAATATTGAGCCAGGCAATATGCTGGCTCACGGATCACGGATTTTCCATCATTACATCACGGATATAATGATGGAAAGGACAAGGTCCCTATCCTCCTAGAGCTTCTATTCTAGTGGGAAAGGCAGGTGAAAAAAGGATAAAGAAACAAATTAAATACAAGTTATTCTAAATGCAATGAAGGAAACAAGAGACTGAACTAGAAAACATCAAGAAATGACCTACTTCAGACAGTACAGCCAGCAAGGCTAGGACCTAGTAGGTAAGGGAAGGGCCAAATCATGCAGGGTCCTTAACCCTTTGCACTCGGATGTTGAGTGTGGATAATGTCGAGTGGATAATGAGGAAAAAAGCAAGCGAGTGCAAAGGGTTAAGCCAAGGTAAGGAGTTGATAAATTTACTGTTCACAACAGGAAGCTATCGCAGGCCCCAGATTCTACCCTTCATGATGAATGGAGATTATTAAAATAGTTATAGTATCTTTTATTTCTTCCTTGGGGTAAAATTTGTGAAACTGAAATGTACATATTTTAGTATACAGTTTCATATGTTTTGATGAATATATACATCCATGTAATTTCCACCCCAATCAATATATACCACATGTCCATTGCCCTAGAAAGTCTGCTCCTGGACCCCCCGGTCAATCCTAACTCCACAGCTATCACTCTTCTGATTCCTATCACCGCTGGTAAGTTTTGTCTGTTTTTGAATTTCCTATAAATGGAATGACATGGAATATACTTTTTTGTGATTGGTTTATTTCACTTAATATGACATTTTTGAGATTCATCCATGTTACGCCGTATATCAATAGTTCTTCTATTTTCCCACTGATAAGTCTTATATGGATAGACAACAATTTATAATATCTCTCTTCCTGTTGATGGACATTTTGATTTGCTTCCAGTTTTGATTTCTTATGAATAAAACCTGTATGAACATGCTTGTAGCATCTTTTTGTGGACATGTATTTTCATTCTCTTGAAAAATAATTAGGAATGGGATTGTTGAGTCACTGGGGGAGATATTTGTATAATCTCATAAAAATAGCTCTTCAACGTGGTTCCATACTCTCACCTACTTTTTGTGTTATTGGACTTTTAAATTTTAGCCAGTTTTAGTAGGCATGAAATGGATATCACTATGATTTAATTTGCATTTTCCTTATGACCAATGACACTGAGTACTTTTAGATATATTTACTGGTATATCTCCTTTGGTGAAGTATCTGTTAAGTCTTTTGCTCAATTTTTATTAGGTTGCTTTCTTATAACAGTTCTTTATCTATTTTGGAGACATGTTCTATGTCAGATATATATATTATGAATATTTCTTCCCTATTTTCTTCATGGTATCTTTCAAAACTTTTATTTAAAAATAATTTCCAACTTATGGAACATATCAAAAACAATACATAAAAGACACATACGGGCCGGGCGCGGTGGCTCACGCCTGTAATCCTAGCACTTTGGGAGGCCGAGCCGGGCGGATCGCTCAAGGTCAGGAGTTCGAAACCAGCCTGAGCGAGACCCCGTCTCTACCAAACGTAAAAAGAAATTAATTGACCAACTAAAAATATATATACAAAAAATTAGCCGGGCATGGTGGTGCATGCCTGTAGTCCCAGCTACTCGGGAGGCTGAGGCAGTAGGATCGCTGAGCCCAGGAGATTGAGGTTGCTGTGAGCCAGGCTGACGCCACGGCACTCACTCTAGCCTGGGCAATAAAGTGAGACTCTGGAAGGTGGCAAAAAAAAAAAAAAAAAAAAAAAAGACACGTCCTTTCTAGAGATGGGCTGATGCAGATGCTTTGATTATCAGAGCTTAATTTTCATAAAGTCTAGTTTATCATTATTTAGATTGGTGCTTCCTGTGTCTTAAAAAATCATTGCCTAGCCTAAAGTTGCAAAAATACTTTTCCTATGTTTCCTTCTGTATCATTATAGTTTCAGTTTTTACATTTAGTCAGTGATCCATCCCAAATTAGTCTCTGTATGTTGTCTCAGGTAGGAGGTGAAGTTCTTTCCTTATGTTTATCCAGTTGTTCCAGCACCATTTATTAAAGACTTTCCTTCCCTCACTGAAATGCCTTGGTACTCTGTTGAAAATCAATTGATCATATATATGTGTGTGTCAGGATCTATTCTTAGACTCTTTATTGATTCACTTTTTTCATTGATCCATTTGTCCATCCTTATATCAATAACACACTCTTGATTACCAGGTAAAGAAACTCTTCAACTTAGTTTTGTTCAAAGTTTGTTTGGCTTTTGCTTTTCTCTATAGATTTTAGGATGCATTTATCATTTTCTATAAAAAAAAAAGTTGTTGAGAGTTTAACTTGGATTGTGTTGAATCTATAGATCAATTTCAGCAGGACAATACCGACTCTTGCAATCTATTTACATTATATATAATATCCATTTATTTAAGCCTTGTTTGGTTTCTTTCATATTTTATAGTTTTCATTTTAGAAGTCTTGTACATCTTTTGTTAAATTTATTCCTAAGTATTTTGTTTTCCGACACAATTGAAATCTTGCTGTCTGTGTGTATATTTAATGTCACCCAGAATAGTGGCAGAAGAGGGTAATTGTGATCCAAGTGCCAGAGTTGCCCAGGAATACAAAGGAATGCCCCCTGGATCAGTCAGTAAGTAGATCAGTATTGAGTAGACCAAGTGAAAACAGTTTTTAAGTCCAGCAAAAAAAAAAAAAAGCGTAGGTGGAGCGGTTTGTTTCTCCCTCACATCTGTGGCAGTCAACAGGCTCCCGGGCTGCTGGAGAGCATTCCTACCCTCATGAGCCTAAAAGCTGCTGCTGCCGCCAGTGAACTGGGAGCTTCCTGAGGACAGAGCACCAGGATACCAGACCCCTGGGCGCTTCCAGTCACCACAGAGCCAAGCAGAGATGGCAGGTTCCATACCGCTTCTCCACCCACCATGCATCTTTGTCCTCCCCAAGGGGCTTCAGCCCCCCGGTTTCCATGTTGCTCATTCCCATACAAGCACTGCCAAACTCTGGCCCAGACTGTGGGAGCCACAGGGGGCCAAAGGCCTAAGGAAAGAATTTATGAAGAAGACCCCAATGACAGTCACAGCAACAACGAAAATAAGTAAGCGCAACTTGAATAAATTAAAAAGCTTCTGCCAACTAAGGAAATAATCAACAGAGCAAATACACAACCTATAGAATGGGAGAAAATATCTACCAGCTATATATCCAATAAAGGTCTAATAA